CGTGTGTGTGTGTGTGCGCGTGTGTGTGTGTGCGTGCGCGCTCGCGCGCGTGTGTGTGTGCCGCTGCGTGCGTGTGCGTGTGTGTGTGTGCGTTTGTGCGTGTGTGTGTGTGTGTGCGTGTGTGCGTGCGTGTGTGTGTGTGTGCGTGTGTGTGTGTCTGTAAATCTTAGTGCGTGCGTGTGTCTGTTTGTGTGTGTGTACCTGTAGCTGTGTGTGTTTGTCTGCACCTGTATGTGTGTGCTTTGTGTGTAACTGTGTGTGTATTTTACTCTCCAAACAGAGGTTTGGGTTTTGGCTTATTTTGGTTGCGCAAACCCTTTGGGTGAAAAAAGATTCCAGTACAAAAACAGAAACCCCGATAAAAAGGCCTAAAAACACGTCAAAGCTATAAAGCCAAAACCCTAACCTCTGCTTAGAGAGTATGGATGTGGGCCTGTATGTGTGAGCTCGCGCGTGTGTGTGTGTTTGTACGTGTGTGTTTGTGTGTGTAACTGTGTGTGTGTGTGTGCCTGTGTGTACATGTACGCGTGTGTCTGTGTGTGTGTGTCTATCTCTGTGTGAGTGTGTGTCTCTGCGTGTGTTATTTGAACGCGTGTGCCTGCATGTGTTAATCTATTTGTGTGAGTGTGTGCTTTTGTATCTGTACGTGTGTGTTTATCTATGTGTGTGTTTATGTATCTGTTTATATGTGTGTGCGTGTTTATGTGTTTGTGTTTATGTGTTTGTGTTTATGTGTTTGTATGCGTTTCTGTGTGTCTATGTTTGTGTGTTAGCCTAAGAATCTCATTGCCTACAGTGTATTTCGTGGAGGCTCTACTTAAAGGAGTACTAACCTCCAGAAGGAAGTGCTATTTTCCGATACATCATGCTGCAATGAATACATAACTAGCCGACTTTTACATAATTTCGCTTGTACGAGTTGCGCGGCGCATGTTTGTAAAGTGATATTAATATCATTTTCCCCCATGCTGAACCACAATTGATACGTCCGGGAACTCTGGCTTACGCAATACTCATACACTTCAGGTGAACATAAACATTTTTGGGCGAAAATGGTAGGAGACAAGCACACTAACAAGCTGATTATTGAGAAATTACTTGCTTTACTTTGCTTGACCTGTGACTTGGATATTATAATGTCAGGATGTCGAATACAGTGAGCGCCAGTTTCACGCTGCGTGTTTTGATTTTCTCAACTTATTTGCATGTAAGTATTACTTGAACAGATAATTAGATTACGCCACTTATGGAAAAGATAACTAGATTACGCCGTTTTTTTCATCGTCAATATTTGCGGCATAAATGAGGGGCGATAAGGACACCAAGAAGGGCAATGGTTGGTAAGATACCAAAGAACACAAAACGGTACGAATTTTTCTTATCGCCCCCGAAATGAGGTCTGTAACGTAACTTTTTGTTTAAAACATAGACACCAATTGGGTAGCGTGGTGTATTCTGGGATAGTTTTGAGGGTATTTGGAGAGTTTGTCCTGGATTCGATGCGTTTTAAGACTTGCGCGCAAAATGGTCATTTAAGTGTATACTGTAAAATAATATGCATTTTTCACTTCCAAAAATAAATGCCTGTCGAAATATAGCACCTCCTTCTGGAGGTTAGTACTCCTTAAACTTGTTTGGGGAGCCCAAGAGACGTTAAAATTACCCGCTATAGCTAGTTCCTACATTGTAACATCCAATACGATCGAACTATTGCAGTCCTATGAATATACATGAACCAAAAGCGACTGAGTAGAACAAAGTGATTTTACAACACGACTCCAATAAACTAGTTTAGAGCACAAGGAATCAGCATGCCGTCTCAGAGACCTATCCGGTATCCGACATTAGATACTTTCTTTTGTCCACGGCTTTGTTTTGTATCATTCCATGCCAGCACGCAAATACGACAGTCCATTGCAAAGGAACTAAACACGCCCTTTTTTAATGGTATAATTAAGCAAACAAACAAACAAACAAACAAAAAACAATCAAACATACTAGTAGTTTACAGTCACTTTTTGAATGTTGTAGCTCATGTCCGGACTAGCTTAGTAATATATCATTATAAGTGCATGTAGAGTTTTTTACTAAGCCCCATCCCGACTAGCATATAAATATATATAATAATCATAAGTAGAGCTATTTTATAGGCGACAGTCCTGACTAGATTATCATAAGTAGAGGTATTTCATACGTGCCCATCCGGACTAAATGATCATAAGTAGAGCTACATTTGTATTTGCAAATAACTCTTCCGGACTAGCTTTGGAAAGAGCTTCGTATGAGCTATTTGCTAAGCGCCCATCCAGACTATCTTGGCTATATTATTTGCTAAGCGCCCATCCAGACTATCTTGGCTATATTATTTGCTAAGCGCCCATCCAGACTAGCTTGGCTGTATTATTTGCTAAGCGCCCATCCAGACTAGCTTGGCTATATTATTTGCTAAGCGCCCATCCAGACTAGCTTGGCTATATTATTTGCTAAGCGCCCATCCAGACTAGCTTGTAGAAGGGCCTTGCTAAGCGCCCATCCAGACTAGCTTGTAGGAGAGCCTTGCTAAGCGCCCATCCAGACTAGCTTGTAGGAGAGCCTTGCTAAGCGCCCATCCAGACTAGCTTGTAGGAGTAGCCTGTAACTGGCTAGAAACCAGTGGAATTATTTTTTCCTGTCGTTTTTTTTAGACCGTTCCAGCTTAAGCTGGGAAATATTTGAATGTTTGATTTGTAAGTAGTAAATAACCGCGGATTTGTACTTGCAGGAGGATGACTGTTTGCTAAGTGCCGATTTGTACTTGCAGGAGGATGACTGTTTGCTAAGTGCCGGTTTGTACTTGTAGGAGGATGACTGTTTGCTAAGTGCCGATTTGTACTTGCAGGAGGATGACTGTTTGCTAAGTGCCGGTTTGTACTTGCAGGAGAATGACTGTTTGCTAAGTGCCGGTTTGTACTTGCAGGAGGATGACTGCAGCAGACCAGGCGGCAGGGCGGCCCGCTCCGGACGCTTCCATCGCCATCCCCACGTGACGTCATCCACACATGACACGTCATCGCCATCCACACGTGACGTCATCTTCACATGACACGTCATCGCCACATGACGTCATCGCCATCCCCACGTGACGTCATCCCCACTACACACGTCATCGCCATCCCCACATGTGAATTCTTCACACACTGAAAGTGTCATTTTATTTTGTCATACTCATAGAGACGGTTATGTTTTACGAACGAAATATGTTACTCTGTATAGAGACAGTAACTTTTCTACGGAAAATGCTTATGTTCATATCGATGCAAAGTTGTAACTAATAGATACTGGGGATGTTTGTAAATAATATACATACTAGAGAGACTTGTAACTTGTACATATGAGGGGGCTTTGTAGCGTGTAGATATTGGGAGAAATGTTATAACTAATAGATACGTCATTCGTAGATGCTGATAAACACTGCAACGTATATACCGTATATATATATATATATACCATATATATATATACACACATATGTATAATGGTTAGAACACCGGACAAAGAAATAGTAAACCGTAATCTTGACAAGTAATTTGTAAATAGTGTATATCGCAGTTGTCACTCAGCGAGTCGCGAAGAGGAAAGTGTAGAAAGGTGTAAATCTGGCGCAGCAGAGATTAAAGAGTTTGATTAGAAATCAGCCATCCAAACTTGAAAGTGCCTTGTTGCTACTACTGCTGTGTTATGCCGAAGGGCGGCTATACCGGGTATACAGATACAGAAGCTGGTGTGTTACACCAAAAGGCGGTTATACCGGCTATACAGGTACAGAAGCTAGTGTGTTACGCCGAAGGGCGGTTATACCGGCTATACAGATGCAGAAGCTGACTTTAAAAGATCCCCGCAGTTGTTACTGAACCGTCCCCGCTTGAGCACCCGTTGACCGGAAATGGAGCGCCCCCGTCTCTTGAGGTGGCGGGAGATGGTAAGACGGAACATTCCAAACGGAGGGGGGGGGGAGATGCTCACACAGTTTCCCGATACGAACTACAAAATGGCCATCAGAAGTCTGTGCACAAACAAACCTGCACAGACAATGGTATTCTTTCCTAAGTAGTTATAGCTGAGGTATTCATACAATTGTTCTGTTACAGATAGTTTAGAAATATCCTTTTGTTACCCCAATCACCAACAAAAAATGAGGCAAACCAACTTACCAAAACATTCCGGACAACATCACATTTAATATCCAATATCTTAAGTATTTATTTTCGAGAAATAATGATAATATATACACTGAAATATATAAATATTTCCATATTTGCGTAATACTATATACACCTGATAATGAATCCCAAAGTGAACAGATTGCCGGGTGTTCCGTTTATGCTTGCCTTTTTTCTTTCTTGACAGACAAAGGTATGAAAAGTCTATCTCCAAAATATATGGTACTATGAAATATTTGTATGGACTTCAAGTCAAATATTCTGAAAATACCGTCTAATGGCAAGAACGTAAAAACATTGCCTGTTGGATTTCACCTCAATAGCAAAATGTAATAGTCCAAATTCCGACGCACCAATCACCATCCACGTTTGACCGACCAATCACGATCCGCGTTCTATAGCGGTGTATGGAAACTTTCGCGCCGGTGACATTCCAGACGTGACAGCCGGCGCCGCGAGCCGTGCGATTTTGAGGTAAGGATTTATAATTCTCTACCATAGAATTTAATGTTTTACTCGTGTATTACCTGGAATAGGGTACATAGAGCAGTTTGTTGTGTGTCCTGGCTTATTTTCGCTTACTTTTAAGACATTTCTGACAGGAGTCTTCAGTTCAGTTAACTTCAGTTTTAGAATGGCGGCATTTCTGACTCCGTGACAGGAATGTCGTGTAAATTTTCCTGTCAGAAATTCCTTTCATTTTCGTCAAATTGAACTTATTTCACACAGAAGTTGGTCTTTACGGCTAAAGCAGCATAAATGTACACTTTTTCTCCGTATTTCTTAACATCTCCTGTCAGAAATATCCTTGAAACGATAGCCCGGGTCTATTCTATAGCTGCATTGGATAATTTGTCGGTCAAAATTTGAAGTAGAATTAATTTCCCTCCTCAAGTTTACCTCAGAATCTTCAGATAAAATGTTGTGACATCTAGTAGCATAACTTTTAGGTCGGTTTCAGCAGGTTTTTTCGGGAAAACTTGAGAATTGTTGAGTAGCGGTCTCTGGTAGTGGACTCCCGGGTAAACAGGCGGGGTTTCCCGTGTGCTGGCAAACCCCGCTACGGTGATCGGAATCGGCTGCATCGTCTGTCAAAATTTTGAAACAAATTAATTTTCCACCCCATGTTTACCTCAGAATCGTTAGATAAAATGTTGTGACATCTAGTAGCATCACTTTTAGGTCGGTTTCAGCAGTTTTTTTCGGGAAAACTTGAGAAATGTTGAGTAGCGGTCTCTGGTAGTGGACTCCCGGGTAAACAGGCGGGGTTTCCCGTGTGCTGGCAAACCCCGCTACGTTGATCGGAATCGGCTGCATCGCCTGTCAAAATTTTGAAACAAATTAATTTTCCACCCCATGTTTACCTCAGAATCGTTAGATAAAATGTTGTGACATCTAGTAGCATCACTTTTGGCTTAGTTTCAGCAGATTTTATTAAGAAAACTTTGAGAAATGTTGAGTAGCGGTCTCACGTAGGAGGTGTCCCGTGGAAACAGGCGGGATGCCCCGTGTGCTGGCAAAAAATAATCTACGGCGCTACATCGTCCGTCAAAACTTTGAAACAAATTAATTTTCCACCCGATGTTTACCTCAGAATCTTTAGATGAAATGTTGTGACATCTAGTAGTATCACTTTTAGGTCGGTTTTAGCAGATTTTATCGAGGAAATGTTGATAATGTTGAGACGCGGGAAAAAGGCGGGGTGGTGCGGGGGTTCCGAACTTTCAATATCGTCCGTCAAAATTTAAAGACAAATTTATTTATCCCCCCATGTTTACCTCAGAATCACCAGATAAAATGTTGCGGCATCTAGTGGTAGCGGTTTTAGATTATTTTCCTAAGATTTTATCGAGAAAATGACGGCGGCTGACCGTCTGACTGAGCTGTCAATCATCGCTCGTGTCAGCACGTGGCAAGTGTACATGTTGTGTCAGAAGTTGCATTTAATTGTTATGTTCCCAGCAATTTTACCCCACAATTAGGAGATGAATTGTTGTTACATCTAGTAGTACCACTTTCATGTTTATTTTTCTAGTTTTTATCGGGAAAATGTTGAAATATTGAGTAGCGGTCGGTCTCACGTGTGGGGCCCGGTGAAACAGGTGCGGGGTTCCGTGTACGTGTGTAGCCAGACCCGGTACGGACCGAGGGTTGGGGACTAGCTACGATAGTTACAATTTTAATAAAGCTGAGCTTGACATATTTTCTGAAACTCTTTTATAAATCCTCAAGGAAGTTGATTTTTTTTCAATGTTGGGACGATGACGACTGACCGTCTGACTGAGCTGTCAATCATCGCCCTTACCTCAGACTTTAGTGCGCACGGGTGGCAAGTATGCATCAAAAGTTGTCTCAGATGTGTTGTGTTCTCACAGATTTTCCTCACGATTGTCGAGAAAAATTTAGTAGCGCCAATGTGTTTTTTCTGGGCTGATTTTTCGGAATCTTACAGAAAAATTAGCATGGTGCTGACAGACTCCGTACCGTAGCGTTCAACCTTATGTTTTCGGTGAAATTTGGCGAGGTCCCGGCCTGGATGGAGCCGGACTCAGTCCTTTCCCGAGAAAATTTTTCTAACGTTGCAAATTCAGTGGTTTCTTTTCACTTTAAGCCTTACATTTTCTAATTCATGTTGAGTTTTTTTTAATTTCTTATACCTATCTAAATACAGCGCCACCTGGTTCACCAGCTTGGTACTGCAGAACGAATTTACTTGCAAATCTGGTATGACTCAGATTCTGGAATAGATGGAAAATTCTAACTGCAAACTGTCCTGATGTATACTAAAGTTTCTCTCCCCATTTTTTACAGATCACCCTTTGCCGGATGCCGCTGTTTCCAGGTTGCTTTGAAGGACACAAGCATGAAGAAAAGGAGGCTTGTCAAACAGGTTAGTATGATACTTTAATTTATTGCAATGCCATAAATTCACATTTAAAATATATTAATGTTTTTCCTCCTCTTTTTTTTATAGATCATCCTTTGGGCCGATGTCACGGTTTCCAGTTTACTTTGAAGCAAGCAAGCTCAAGAAAAGAAGACAGCTTGTCAAACAGGTTAGTGTGGTTTCTTGCAATACTGTAAATTCCCATTTGAAGTACGCACCAGGCATATTTGGGCTGTTGAGAGACAATTCTGACCTAAAGCTGAGAAAACTTACTCCCTCTCCAATATTGAACAAAACATGAACGGAATAAATTCAAATTCATGCTGTTTCTCAATGACTTCTATAGAATCTGATGTCTTTGCTGGAATTTATAATCATGCAGCTTAGAATGTTTCACTATTTGGCAACCAGTCTTTTCTATTAATACAAACTTTTTACTTGTTCAATTGTTTCATACTTAAGTGATAACCAGACACTTTTTGAGTATTAAAAAGTGTGTACTTCAATGGGGAATTTACAGTTACTAAGTTAAACGTAGGGAACATTTTGGACATATTAAGTGCCTTGTGTTGATCTTTGATAACATTGACTAAAAGTACAGGGGTTCTAGCATAGCATTGCAATATGTAGATCTGTAAGACACACACAAGATCCAAGATTGCTGTAGTCAGAGAGATAGCAGTATAATAGATCTGCAGATGAATATTTATTGTTGTTTTGGAAGTCAGGCATCAAAAGCTGTATTAGATTTAAATTGCAGTCGACATTCCTAGTCCATTTTGTAAGTGATAAAATGGACATGCACTGATGTAACTATGCACCTGAGTCTTGCAATGTACGTACGAGAAGTTTCTTTTATTTGTCCGTTAGTGAAAGTTAAAGTAGCTAGGTAAAGTCCAGAAGACGACACCAGAAGGCACCACAGCAGATACACACATTAGATAGTGTTTTTGAACAAAGATTATAAGTAGATACTGAAAAATTCCTGAATAAAGTTTGCGGGACTTCAACTTTACGTAAGGAAAAGTGGAGTCCCCCTTTAGGCTTCCTACAAGTCACGTTAACTGGAGTAGAGTGGCGACATAGTTGTCAAAATTTAATTACTTTAACTTTCAAGTACTAAATTGAAAGTTTAAGTAATTTTTGTTTTTAGAAAAAAATACACTAGAGCTTTTTTAAACATTTTTATATATCAATGGGGAATTTTCAGAAAAGTAATCTGGTTCTCATGGTAGTTAATGGTACTTTTAGTTTCCAACATTTGCATAATCACAAGGCACACCAAACTTTTAGCTCATGTCAGGCCAAAG